GGTAGACACCAGCTGATTGGCACTGGGTCTTCACCTGAACCCCTCAAAGTTCAGTCGCAGCCCTCACTTGTAGGCTGGCAGGAGGATATGCACAAATCTCCCTTACCTTCAAAGAAGCCAAGTGGTAAGCATCTTCCATGAGGCCAGTGAGAAAGCTGAAAGCACTTCTGGCAATGGGAAGCTTTGTTTCTAGAGGAGAAGAGGAAAACAGTCCCACGTTACTCACCTTTCCCAACACAACTGCAAACAAAACAACGTAGTATTTTTCTGAAGAACAGAATGCTAACAGAAGACTCTCCTCCTTTATCAATCCCACTCAACAAAAAACCTGAAAACTGTGGAAAACTGAGTATTTACTGAGAGTAGACCAAGTTAGGGGAAGTCAGTCTTTCGCGTTTCACTGACACACCTTTTACTTTTTCAAAGCATCAGACAGAAATTGTTTCATCAACTGACTTTCCAGTCATTGCTAAATCAACCCTGTTTCAAAATATAATGGCATACTACCAAGCAGTCTTACAAATCCCCTTCTAACTCAAAGCATTTAATATTAATAGTTCTTTTTTCAAACCTTCGAGCAAACATGCAGTGGGTAGCCTTGCATCTTTCACTATGTAAAAAGAACTTTAATCCCTTTATGTTGATTTGCTCTTTCCACCATTCTAAAAACAGAGGCTTAAATGCAAGATGATAAAAAATACATTGGTTCTTCTATTATACCTTGGTCACTACAGTCCCTAAGACTTTTGAAAGAGCCACTTGTATCTCACAATTGAACTCCGTTCTGAGCCTAGAACTGATTTTTGCTATAAGCAAAAGATAAAAAGCATCATACTCCAAACTGCAGTGCCTCCTCTCAGAACACACATCTCATTTCCTGGCAGCTTATACACTAATCCACAAGTTCATGAGCTAGAACTACTTTAAAAAATGGTTCCTTAAAGATACTGAGTAGCCATGTCTTACTTCTCTTTAACACTGAATCATCTTGAACAAGCAATGACACAAATTCTTCAAACTTACCACACATGAACTCACAGTAACCCACAGCCCATTCTGCCTTTAAACAAACACAGCAGAGACTAAGCCAAGTCATAAGTTTGTCATTAATCTTTAATGACATCTAGAGATTGATAAGAGTCAAAACTGACAGCCCAGATGACTTATAAACTGGCCCACTGTGGAAGCAGGGCTAATATAACCAACAGCCATGTCTTGCGTAGACGATCTGAGTAAGCAACAGTTTTAAATTCTAAGATTTGGCTGCATGCAGGGCTCTGGATAGTCATTTTCTTCTGCTTAAAAATTCCCAGACAGTAAACTACCTTTCACGACAATGTCTACAAACCTCTTTAAAGCACTGCTGCCTAAAATTCTCTGCACAGTGAGTGCAAGAAACTAAGAAAGAAATACAAGAACTCCTTATATTTTCATCAGGTCTCCTGCTTCATGTTCTCTCAAACAGTAACAGCTTTCGTAACAAAAATTCTAAGCCATAAATTACCAGTGATAAAATATGCAAGGTCTTACTTTTTTTAAGTTCATATAATATGGTAAATAAAATTAACATCACAAGGTTTTGTGACCATATGTTCGTTCCAGACACAATTTCAAGGAAATCTAAGGTTTCTTGAATACTTTATTTGGTTTGTGTCCTCCTAAGCATAACTTTAATTTCTAGAGCTATAATGCCTGGTTTTTGAGTAATCACAGAACAACAGGACACATTAAGTTGGGAGGGATTTTCACAGGCCATCCAGTACAAGATGAATTAGATGTGGTTGCACAGGCCCTTGTCCAGTCAAGTTCTAACACCTCCATCGATGGATGGTCCACACACTAGACCCTTCCTTTAGAGTTTGACTGTTCTCCAGGTTAAGAACAAACAAACCTAAATCAAAACCAAAAATACCTTCCTTGTAGCTAAACTACCATGTGTCCGTTGCCCCTCACCCCACTGTCATGTACACCCAAGAGGAGCCTGGCTCTATACCTTCCTCCCCACAGCAGTAAGATGTCCCCTTCCATCACCTTAAGGCTGAACAAATCCACGTCTCTGTTTCTCCTTTAATATCATGTATACCAGCTCCCTAACCGCCTTGCTAGTCTCATAGGTGCCAAATGGAAGGGAAAAGTCACTTTGTCAACCTACTGTCCCTCAGCCACATTTACTAATACAGCCCATAATGCAGTTGTCCTTCGCTGCAACAGCACAGTCAGGCTCATGTTCAACATGTGGTCCGCTACCACACACAGCTCCTTTTCTACAAGGCTGCTCTCCATCAAGTCTTCCCACAGCCTGTTCCAGTCATCAGGCAATTCCATCCCAGCTGCAGGGGTTTCTTTTTGCCTTTGCTGGAATTTATGAAGTTCCTATAAGCCCATTTCTCCATGCTGTCAAGATCCCTCTGAGTAGCAGGCCTGTCCAGACTATCAAACACTCTCCTCAAGTAAGTAAAAACATTGTTCTCAACTTTAACTTAAGAAGATGTCCTGGGTTCAGCTGTAACAGTTATTTTTCTCCTTCCTAGGAGCTGGTGCAGTGCTGTGTTTTGGTTTTAGTCTGGGAAGAACGCTGATAACACCGATGGTTTTAGTTGTTGCTAAGTAATGTTCACTCTGATCAAGGACTTTTCAGTTCCGTGCTCTGCCAGAGAGGAGGGGCACAGGAAGATGGGAGGAAGCAGAGACAGGACACCTGACCCACACTGGCCAAAGGGGTATTCCATACCACAGCACGTCATGCCCAGTATATAAACTGGGGGGTGTCACCTAGAAGGCCCAGATCGCTGCTCGGGTCGGGCCAAATATCGGTCAGTGGATGGTGAGCAATTGTATTGTACATCACTTGCGCTTACTGGGCTTTTTTCCCTTCCCTTTTTAGTTTTGTATTCTCTCCCCTTGTTATTTCCCTTATCATTATTACTGGTAGCAGTAGTGGTTTGTATTATGCCTTAGTTACTGAACTGCTCTTATCTCAG